CAGAGGGACAAGATACCTGGTACAAGCTAATGCATTATGGACAAGTTTAGGAAACTACATCAGTGAAATTTCCACAGTAATGATATATAGATTTTTTTTTTTTTGTCTTTTTGAGACAGAGTCTCCCTGTAACCCCAGCTGGCCTAGAACTCGCTATTGAGACCGAGCTGGCCTCAAACTCACAGAGATCCGCCTGAGTCTGCCTCCCGAGGGCTGGGATCAAAGGAGTGCAAGGCCTTCCAGCAGAGAGGCAGCTCAACAAGCACAGTTTACAGAACTCTAGATCATTACTTTTAAACCTTGTATGTAGATATCCCACTAAGATAATTTTGAAAAACTGTATTTTCTTTACATTTAAAATTTTCTTGGACTGGAGAGATGACGCAGCAGTTAAGAGCACTGGCTGTTCTTGCAGAGGACCCTGGTTCAAATCCCAGTACCCACATGGCGACTAACAACTGCCCATAACTCCAGTTCTAGGGGATCTGACTTCTGTCCTCCACTGGCACCGTACAACATGGGTACGCTTATATATATGCAGGCAATACACTCATACATATAAAATAAAAATAAATTTAAAAAATTCCTTTACATTTTAAAATTAAGAGCTAAATTTTTCTGTTACACTTAAGTAATAATAATGTATTTTCTAGAGTGATGCAAATATTGACATTTAAGTAACAGTCAATATTTTAAATGTATCCAAATTTAACACCATTGTTACATACTTTAAAGATTCAGAAACATACTTCATATTTCATAGAACTTTAATATCATTCTTTTTCTTCCTTAAACTTTTATGTCTACTTCCCTTTTCACCAGAATTTTGCATGAAATATTGTATTTGGTACTTGGAAAAATTCTAATCACCTGGCATTCAACCAAAGTACCTAAATTGAAGATAATTATAAAATTTCCTGTGACCATAAAACTCATAACTTAAATATGCCTCCCATGTATTACAGGTATGCTCCAGAATCACTGACCGAGAGCAAGTTTTCTGTGGCCTCAGATGTTTGGAGTTTTGGTGTGGTTCTGTATGAACTTTTCACATATATTGAGAAGAGTAAAAGTCCACCAGTGGTCAGTGTACTTTTTATTTAGTTTCTTTTTAAGCACAGGAAAGGCATTGATTATCCAAATATAAAAAATATGCATAGGACTGATTTTAGAGCCTCTTACTACTTATCTGGAGACAATATCCAACAAAATAAACTTATTCATTAAGCTGAGGGTTTTTTGGGGGGGTATTTTTTGTGAGTGTTTTTTTTTAATCTTTTGAGACAGGGTCTCATTATATAGCCCTGGCTGACCTGGAACTTGCTTTGTAGACCAGGCTAGCCTCAAACTCACAGATATCCCCCTGCCTCTGGCTCCTGAGTACCTCATTAAAATTTTTAGAGGGGAATGTTAGAGAGTAATTCAGTATACTTTTGTCCATTTTCTGTGACTGTGGCAAAATATCTGGCACTGAGTACTTAATAAAGAAAAGAGATTTATTTAGCTCACAGTTCGTGGGGCTGAAAGTCTAATAACATGCCAAGGACCCCTTGAGTGCATTATGACATGGCACATAGAAAGAGAACTAACTGCATTCAAAACCATTCACCTGACAAAACTTGAAGCAGAGAGTGAGTCGGGGAGAGTAATTTCTCTTATCATAAAGCAGCTTGATCTCATAAGAATTAAGATACTAAGTGAGACTAGCATTGTTCCCTTTGAGAATTAGGTCTGTTCTAAGGTCTGCACCTTCAGTGACCTAGTAAGCTTCCACTAGGCCGCACCCCTTAAGAGTCCACCACTTCAGCACTGCCACTCTGGGACCAAGCTTCTAGCATGCAAACCTTTAGAGGAAAACCATGACATCTCTTAATTGCATTATAAGTAAATTCAGTAAGCCTGTTTATCCATTTATTACATGAAAGAAACTTTTGAAAGTAGTTTTTACTGTTCATTATAGATTTCTTTCAAAATAAGACAGTATGAAAGGATAAAAGTATTTTCATTCAATTTCTCAGCAATAACCACTTTAATATTGTGATGCATTTTCTTCCAGACTTATATATAAAAGTGAAGTTTTATAAAGAAATATATGTTGATTTAGAAAGTTATGTTTGAAAGCATCCTGTGTAGTTTATTATCCTGTTGTTTAACTAGTATATTATGTGTATTTCATTTTATTGAGTTTTACTGCAAATACCATTTTTAATTGCCTGATAGTATTCTCTCTTAAAGTTGAATATTTCTGGATAATCATTTACTATTTTATAAATAAACATGTATGTTTATCTCTGGCTATCATGTTAAAAGAACAGTGTAATTACTGGTGAGGTTATGAGTTAGTAAATGCTTTCGATAATTTTTAAATGTTTTCAGAAAAAGCTATATCAGGTTGTACCTCATAGGCTGCATCATTTTAAATGAAATTTTACCAATTTAATATGAAAGTAGTTATATCTATTTTATCTCCACTTACATTTCTCTTATTAGTGTGATTATTTAGCAAGTCATTGAAAATTGATTGTATTTCAGGAATTTATGCGAATGATTGGCAATGACAAGCAAGGACAGATGATTGTGTTCCATCTGATAGAGCTCCTGAAGAATAATGGGAGATTGCCAAGGCCTGAAGGGTGCCCAGATGAGGTGACAATTTTTAAATTAACTGACTCATGAATTAATGTATGTACAATGTGTGCATGAGTACAGGCATGCACATACTATAGCATACATATGGAGATCAGAGGACAACTTCCAGGAGTTGGCTCTTGCCCTCTATCTTGTTGGGGCATTCTTGTTTCTACTGTTGTATTGTACACACCAGGCTCTCTGGCCCCCGAGCCTCCAGACAACTCTCCTGTATCTGCCTCTGTCTTGTCATCTTGTCCTAGGGGTGCTGGAATTACAGTTAGTGCCTCTGCATTTGGCTTTTTACATGGGTTCCATGAATTGAACTTGGATCTTCAGGTGTGCATGCCTAGTGCTTTTACCTTGAGTCATCAGATTTCCAAATTTATATCTTTTGCTAATTAACGTTAGTTCGTTGTAATTTTGAATTTTTTTCTTTTTCCTTTACAGATATATATTATCATGACAGAATGCTGGAACAACAATGTAAATCAGCGTCCCTCCTTCAGGGACCTGGCACTTCGAGTGGATCAAATACGGGACAGTATGGCTGCGTGAAAGAAATAGCCTTTACTCTCCAACCAACATGGACTTCCACAACAGCTTTGTAGTTCACGTTGCTGTGGACTACTGTTGACATATCATTATCACCTAAGTCATAATGTTGACCAGAAAAGGTGTGACAATGTCTGCTCAGAACTTCCCAAGTTTAATGAGTTTTTTTTTTCCTTTTTTCGTGCAGCATCTGTAAAAGACACTGATGAAAAGTCTTGCAAGAAATTTGTAAGAGGTTTCATGGAACTTATCAGTCAGTCATTTACATCTCTTTCTCTGGCAAAAGAAGAAAATAGACACTTTTCAATTCAGCTTTTTGAGAGATGAAAAAATTACATTGTAAATTTTGCAGTGTTAGAGATACACAGAATATATATGTACAGTTTTTACTACATTGAGTGTATAATACTTTGGCATCTTGTGTGATTTACACAAGGGCTGATGTTTATTAATAATGTTTTCTAATTTTTCCATAGTTGATCTACAATGACTTCATTATACAAGCAAATTAAAATGCTCAAACATTGAGTAAGCACCTTTCTTTTCTTACTCCTATGTCTCTATCTGTCAGGGCTTATTGCTCCATGTACTGTAAATATTTTTCAAAGCAAAGGGAACAAGTCTAGTTTTATTTGTATAGGAAATTCCCCCAGCCCTAAATAATTTTGAAATGGAACAATCTTACAAAGATATAGCACAATCTATTTTCTTATTTGTTTTCTTTGTGTCTGTTTATGGTGAATACGTTTTTTAAATAGAAGTATCTCCAAATTTTTTAAGACTATAATAAATAGTATTCTTTTACATTTTTGAGATTAAGAATGCCAGGAATATCTTCATCCCTTGAATTGCTAACTGTCAAAAAGACTTTTCAGTCCCTGAGACCTATGGGCGTACATTAAATTTAAGCATAAGCCATAAAATAATTTCTAAGCTGTGCATGCTCTTTAAGATGCAGAGTGGGTTAGGACATGGACTCTCTGTTTAAGGGGTTTCCAAGCTTCCTATTTGAGTTGTAAAAAAAATTCTTTATTAGAGTCTCCTATGCAAATGGGAAATGAGTAAGTTATGGAAAAGTATGCTTGCTCATTTTATCTAAGAATCCTAGTAGAAGACTCATAATGTACGTCTTTAAAAAGGAGAGAGAGCATACGTATTTTCAAAGTATAAATAGTGGTTGTCATCCATTTTTGTGCTGCTCCATTTTAGACAATGTCATGCCAAAAATAAAATATGATTTTTGTGTGTGTTATTTATACAAACTTTAAAATATTTGATAATTTGTTTTTTAAAAAAGAATTTATTTTCACTGGTGTGTGCTATTTTTTAACTTAAGACTTTTGGTTTTGTTGGGGAAGGAAAGGCAAGAAATGTTTCAAACAATTTTTAAGGCATTTTAGTAGATACCAGATATAGAAATCACCTACAGTGAGACTAGTAGATTTTTAAGACTTCTATTCAATATTTTAATGAATGTTAAATATATTTTTATGTAATTTGTAAAGTCTTCTCAAGGGTGTGTATATATAATATAGTTCAGAGATCTTTAATTCTACAATAGCTCAAAGTAGCATACCATACCATATGATTGCTTTCAGATTTTTATACTAAAGCTTAGTAACTTAAAAGTACATTTTTCATATTCATATTTTTAAAAGATTTTTGTTTATTTTAAAAAATAAAGGTGTGAACTACATTTCTTTAAACTTATAAACATGTTTTAATTTTTAGTTTTAAAGAATCCCACATCCATATCCTTACAGTTATAGAGAGGACAATCTTACTGTAAAATTCCATTTTTTAAGAGATTTCTTTTTTATTGACATTCATTGAATGTTTTAAATTTTGATTCTGATTACACATATAAAGCAATTACTCCCATAACTATTTATTTGGTTCTGCACAAAAAACAGGTATTGGTTAGGATCAAATATCTCTTCAAGTTAATACTCTTTAGAAATGAAGAAAAAGCTTTCTCAGAATTCTATGATTATGTAAATATTTGAGTATGTTGTTATATAACCATGATATAAATAATCCCATAAATAATATCCCACTACCGTGGGTATTGCTTTAAGAAGTATTTATTTTTTCATGCTATTTATATATGCTGCCAGTAGCACCATATAATTTACAATGGAAGAGTGCCTTCTTAAGAGTTCACGATTTCTGCTTTAAGGTTAAATGAAAATTTTTACAATTGTAACTTATGATATTTGTCTTATATAAATAGTTTCATTATATAATAGAGATGGAAAAATATCTACATTTCTATATCTGGAGAGCCATTCTCCTGGGGTAGCCGATGTGCTTGCTGTATTGGCATATTAATGTCTTCATTGTCCCTTTAGCATGTTCTACAAAGTTGGAAGCTTGCTGTGATATAAGTTACTTTCTTCTGTATTGTCACAATCAGTCACAGTTGTACATATAGATGAAAATGTTTTTCACTAAAAAAAAAAGTCAAGTGAATAGTATTTTTATTTTTTTAATTTAACTTTTTACTCGGCTGTCAATGTAGCTCAGTGGTAGAACACTTGCCTAGAATGTGCAAGGTCCTGAGTTCAATCTCCAGCACCACAAGAAAAGATTAAAAATTATTAGTGTATATTAATTATACAAAGTACTGTTTCATTTTGATATTTTCTTTTTTTCTTTTTCTTTTTATGTGTATGAGTGTTATGCCTGCATGTGTGTAAGTGCACCTGTGTCATGCAGTGCCTGTGGAGGACAGAAGAGGGTGTTGGATCCCTTGGAAATGGAGTTATAGATGGTTATTAGCCACCATGTGGGTGCTGCGATTCGAACCCAGGTCTTTTGTAAGAACAGCCAGTGCTCTTAACTGCTGAGCCATCTCTCCAGCCCTCATTTTGACATTTTCATCCATGCATGCAGTGTCCTTTGATCTCGCCCACCCTTCTATTGACTTTTTCCTCTGTGCTCTCCCTGTTTTCCTTTTTGCATTGCCAACCCTTCTTATTTTTAGGCTCATAAATTCCACTTATGAGAGAAAATGTGATACCTGTCTTTGTCAGATTGGCTTATTTCACTTACCACATGATGAGTCCTGGTTCCTTTTCTTGCAAGTGACATTTCATTTTTTATTATGGCTGAATAAAACTTCACGGTGTGTCCATGCAACAGTTTCATTAGCTGCACATCTGTTGGTGGGCACCTGAGCTGATTCCTTGTTAGCTGTTGTCAGTAGTGCTATAAGAAACTTGGGTATGCAGGCAAGGTATAGAAGGTATAGAAGATGACTTTGACTCATACCCAGAAGTGACATAGCTGGAGCATAAGGAAGTCCTGTTTGTTTGGGTTTCGGTGGGTTTCTTTTTTTATTTAAGGAGTCTCCATACTGATTTCCATAGTGGCCAAATTTAAATTTGGAGAAATAATATATATGCGCTGCCTTTCCCTCTTCTTCCTTGTCGAGATTTGCTGATTTTTCTCAGATGAAATGGAATCTCGATGTAGTTTGGATTTGCACTGCCCTTATGACCAAAAGTATTGCTCTTGTTTGCCATGTCTATATTGGCTATTTGTACTTATGTTTTAAGAACTGTCTGTTGGGTTCATTTGCCCATTTGTTGCTTTTGGGGGTTGGGTAGGTGTTTAGTTTTTTAGTTCTTAGGATATTTGGGATAACTATTCCATGTCATAAAATTAGCTGGCAAAGATTTTTCTCCAATTCTGGAGATTGCCTCCATCCTGTTGACAGTTGCTTTTGCTGGGCAGAGGCTTTTTAATTTAATGCAGTCCTGCTTCTCAATTCAGACTATTATTTCCTGAGCTATTGGGAGAGGATGCCAAAAGTCCATGCTTCTGCCTAGATCTTAAGTGTTTCCTCTCTGCTTTCCTCTGGTAGTATAATTTGAAATAGGGTATCGTGATGCTTCCAAGCAGTGCTCATGCTGGTTGTTCTCTCTTTCTGTGAAGATTGCCATGGGAAATTTGATGAGGACTACATTGAATTTGTAGATCACTTTTGGAAACTTGGCCATTTTCACAATAATTCTTCTCATCAATAACTTGGGTGGTCTCACCATCTTCCACTTTCTACAGTTTCATCAATGCTTTATAGTTTTAACTGTAGAGGTCTTTAACATCTTTGGTTAAGTTTATGTGTAGGTATTTTTGAGGCTATTACAAAGGGGATTGGTTGCTGAATTATTTTTGCATAAATTGTTACTGGTGTATAGAAAGGCTAATGGTTTCTGTTAACTTTGCATTTTGCTTCTTTGCTGAAATTGGTTCTCACAGCTAAGGGTCATCTTGTGGAATCTCTTAAGTATTGGATCATATTATCTGTATACAGGGATATTTTATTTCTATTCTTGTCCATTTTCTTTCTTGCCTTGTTGCTCTAGCTAAGCAGTCAAGCACTATATAAAGGCAATGGGAGTGGACACCATTGTCTTATTTCTGATTGTGTAGGAAATGCTGTCATTATTTTCCTGTTCAGTATAATGTGGCCTGTAAATGGATTACCTTTTTTATATTCAGATGTGATTGTTCTGCTTCTGGTTTCCTTGGGGTTTTCATCATGAAAGGATATTGAATGTTGTCAAAAGCTTTTTCTCTACTTACTATGGTTTAAAAAAAAAAAGATTTACTTTTCTGTCTATGAGCATTATGCCTGCAAGTGTGTCTGTGTACCAAGTGTGCCTGGTGCTCCCAGAGACCAGAAGAAAGCATCAGATCCTCTGGAATTGGAGTTACAGTTGTGAGCTGCCATGTGGGTGCTGGGAACCAAACCTAGGTCCTCGGTGTTTTTAACAATTGAACCATCTCTGTAGCCTCTCTTGTAATTTTTATTTTTAGTTTTTTAAACTTTATATTGAATTTTTTTATATTTCATACATTAAATCATCTTTTTACTCCCTTTCCCTTTGGCACCCTCCCATAGCTGCACCCCCTTACACACACTGGGGTTCATACAGTCTGTCATTTGTATTAAGGCCCATTATATAAAGTTAGTGTCCTGAGATATCCCTCAGTGCAAGTTCATCCACCAGGGTTTAGTCATCCTGTCTAGAGTCTCTCCTTTCAAGAAGATCAGCTCTTCCTTACCCAGGAGTAATCAGCTGCCAATAGTTCTTCAACTAAGATTGGGGTTTGCTGTTCATTTCTACAGTTCTATGCTTGTTTTTTGTCTAAATTTGCATAGGTCTTGTGCATGTAGACACCATTGCTGTAGGTTTGTATGAGAAGAGTCCCAGGTGCCTGTAGGACTATTTCCATATGGTTCTGCACCTCCTCCCCAACTCTTACAATCTTTCTGCTCCCTCTTCTGCAATGGTCCCTGAGCCCTGGGTGGGTGGACCTCAATATAGGAGACCTGTCGAAGGACCCACACTCTGCTGACCCTTACTCTCTGCATTTTGGCCATTTGTGGCCTTTTGTGTTCCTGGCCGTCTGTTGCATGAGGGAGCTTCATTGATGAGAACTGAAAGATGCATTACTGTTCTCTTCATCCCTTGTTCTATGTTCCATGAGTCTTAGGTGTAGAGGTTGCATCCTAGAGTGCCACTTGGGCTCTCTCTTGTGATTTTTAATCTAACTTGATATGATACGGGATTTTGGTGTGTGTCTGCCTGTCTGTCTTCTTGCCTACCTATCTACCTTTATTTGGTTTTGGCATCAGTGTAATATTAGATTCTTAGAGTGAACTTGGAAGCATTTCATCCTTTCCTGTTTTTTAATGGAATATTTCTTTAATAGAAGAAAAACATTGTATTTTTTGGCTGACAAGATTGTACTACACTTATTTGAAGCAAATTCTGTTCTTTTTTTGTTTTTCCTGTGCTATTTTTAAATGAATTTTTGTGTATTCCATACAGAACAACTCAGCTGATCTTAATCATCTTTACACCTTAATTGACTTTTAGTCCAATTAAGTAGCTGTTGATTGCCCCCAAGATAAAAGTGCCACTACTGCACCAATGTCATATGCTGTGCCAGTCATTGATGAGGTTATTTGGTCTTGAAGCTGGTGTTGAATCATCAATTGATGTTCTTCCTTAGTAGGTTGTGTTGTGCTCTCCAAAGATATGAGAGCTAGCCTTCAGGGGAAGTGGCTTCTACGTCAGTTCCAACTCCATTCCTCCAAATCCTGTGTCCGAAGTATGTTTTGTCTTTAGCAATAGGGTCTCTTACCTTCAAGTTCTGGGAGGCAAGCAAGGACTATGGCAATAGCCTGTGTAATTTTGTGAGTCTCTTAGACTACCCTGGCCAGTGACTCAAAGGTTTCGCCTGTCTGGTACTGTTTCTTGTTATATAGCCTTCAACTATATACATGGACTCATGTGGAGATAGTGTATGTGTATTTTGTCATTATGTTGTTAGACTAATAAGATTTCCTCTGTCTTTTTTTTTACACTGACTAGGCATTATCTTTCCTCTCTCCCTGCCTAACCCTTCTGCCATGGTTTCCCCATTTAACGTCCTCCCATTTTCCCCATTTCTCCCTTGATAATACCAGCCTCCTATGGGCCCATCTTTCTTGACCTGCTTCTTTCCCTTTATCCCCAAGATTCCTTGTATAACCCTCCCTCCCTCCTCCCATTTAAATACCCCCATTTTATCTGTTTCTCCCTTTGTAACACCTGTCTCCTACAGATGTTCTTCTCTCAGGTTCCTTCTTTCCCTTTACCTTTGTGGTTCCTTTCCATTATCCTGGTTCCTGCAGTTACATCAGGATACATACATATAAGGATTTGGGGCTAGGATCCACATATGAGAGAGAACATATGTCATTTGTTTTTCTGAGTCTGTTACTTCTCTTAGTATAACAGTTTCTAGTTCTATCATTTACCTGCAAATTTCATGATTTCCATCTTTCTTTACCTCTGAGTAGAATTCCATTGTGTAAATGTACCGCATTTTCATTATCCA